CGGCACGGCGCGGCGCCGACCCCCTCGCCCGGGCCCCCGGCGCGGCCCGTCCCCCTTTGTGCCCCCAAAACCGCGACCCCCGGGACCCCCCATCCCGGGCACCCCCTTCCCAAGCTCCGCTACCTGGGCGGCCGCCGCGTCCCCCGCCCCCGGGCTCCGGCGACGCGGCGGCGGCAGCGGCGGCGGCTCCCTCGGCGTCCCCGGCTCGGCTGGCTCGGCCGGGCGGCGGCCGCCGAGGAGGGAGCCCGGGGACGCGACGTCGCCGCGGCCGCCGCCTCTGGCGCGTCAGGGGCCGGGGTTGTATTTCGAAAGATCCGCCATTTTCACCTCGTCATCACCGCCGCCCGCTTCCCGGCAGCCGAGCGGGGTCGCCGTCGCCGTCGCCGCGCCGGGACCTCCCCCGCCGCGCGCCCGCCCCGCGCCGCCCCGCCCCGCCCGCCGCCGGCGCGCGCCTCAGACCCGGGACCTCTCACCCCGCAGCCGCAGCCGGGACGCCCGGTTCCCGCCGCCGCCGCCGCGCGCCTCAGACCCCGGGGCGGCCGCCGCCGGCCTCCGCCACACGCACCCCGGGACCTCTCACCCCGCAGCCGGGACGCCCGGTTCCCGCCGCCACCGCCGCCGCCGCCGCGCGCCTCAGACCCCGGGGTGGCGGCCGCCAGCCTCCGCCAGCCTGCCTCCAAAAACCCCACCCGGGGGCCCGCCGCGAGTCGCCGGGCCCCCGCGGGACCTCTGACCCCGCAGCCGGGCGAGCGAGTCACGCCCGAGCCCGGCGTGTCCCCTGCGTGGAGAAAGCCAGAGCCACCACGCCGCGGAAGGTGGCGACCCGTCTCCCTCGCCGCGTCCAACCGCGCGTCGCCCGCCCGCGCCGGCCTGTCCCCCCGCCCGCGCCGGCCGGCCGCGCGGCGACACCCGCACTTTCCCCCCTCGGACACCTCCGCGGGCGACGGGGCGCCGGCCCTCACGCCTGCACGGGGCTCGGGGCTCAAAACATCTACTTTTTTCCCCAAAAATAATAAAAGTTCTGAACTATTGTCCTCCCCACCCCCCTATTTAATTTCACGCGGTCACTCCTGCCCGTCAACACGGGGACTTGCGATCTGCCACCGGTTCGTTAACACGTCCAAGCGCCACTGGATTTAAAACCTATCCCAGCATATCCAGGGGAAAGAAAAAAAAAAAAAAAGATAAACAGGGGGGAAAAATTTTTTTTTTAATTAAATAAAAAGGAAGAAAGAAAAAAAAAGTAAAATGTATTGATGCATCCAGTGTTACTTATAAAAAAGGATGTAAAAATTTTAAAAAAATGTAAAAATAAAAAAATTAAAATGATAAACACAAAATCTTTAAAAATAAAAAACAAAATGTATTGATGCAGTTATGGAAACATTCACGAAAAACGATCACTTTCCAAAATTTGGAAAATAGAGTCCTAAAGCTAAAATTCTTGGCCAAATGTTTTTAGGACTTGAGTAACCAAATTAAAAACCAAAAAAAAATCTGTCCCTGATATAATTGTTCAATGCAGTGGGAATAAAACAGCTTGCTTTGGAAACAAGCACACCCAGGATCACCTACTCACCCCTATACCTGGCTCCTTCTCATCATCCGGTTCAATAACTAAGAGAGAACATGGGTACTTTTTATTTATTTTTTCAATTTATTATTTATTTTCATTTTGTGTGTTTACTTTTCTACCATTTGCCAAAAATTGACTGATAGGTTATCTCTTAATCATCTAAGAAACAAGAAAAACTCAAGAGCTGCGGGGGCTTCTGAGACCAGCATTAAAAAGACAAAAAAAATTAATTAAATTAAAAAAAACCCCAAAAACTGGCTACCCTTTTTGAGTTCATACCAAGGATTCAGAAGCTGAGCTCTATATATGCCATTCAACTGCAACGTGAGCCCTAAAAGGCCCCACCTGAAACAATAACCACGTTGAATGTCAGGGTTGCAAAGAGGGCCACCCCTCCACTGTCTTTTTTAAAAAGTGAGTCTATAAAGAAAAAAAGGAAAAAAAAAAAAAAAGGAAAAGGAAAAAAGAAATAACAAAAAAAATAAATAAGAAAAAATGTCCAAAGAAATATTCATAAAAACGAAACTAAAAAAAAAAGTGAGTCTATAATATTTGGAAAAAAATGGGGAAAATTCCACCTGTAGACTTGGTGAGCAAAAAAATAAATAATAATAAAAAGATGAAAAATAGGAAAGTAAAAAAAAATAAAAAAGTGAGCCTAGGAGGAGCGAGGCGCGGCTGGCTGCAAAGGCCACCGCACTCCCACCTGGCGTGCGTGCCGGCCGCACCTGCGAGCACAGGTGGGCTGGGGCTCAGCGCCGCGCAGCCCGCAGCGCCCGGCCGGCGGGCTCTGGTCACACGCAGCGGCGTGGCGGCGGAGCGTCCCAGTGGCCCGCGCCCGCCCGCGGTCTGCCGTTGCCGCGAGCGGGCCCGCCGCCCGCCCGTGTGCAGCCGGGACGCCGCGGCGGAGGCCGGCGGGCCCGCGCGGGAACGGACGCGCCCCGCGTACAAAGGCCGCGCGGCGCGCTGGCGGGCCGGCGCCGCGCGGACGGCACAGCGGCGACCCGGGCCCGGCCGCGCGCGAGCGCGCCCGCAGCGGGCGAGCCCCGCGGGTGACAGCGGGCGAAAGACCGAGCCCGAGGCCCCTCCGCCCCCCGCCGCGGCGTCCCGCCCGCCCCGAAGCCGCCCTCCCCGGAGGCGCCTGGCACTCACCCAGCCGGCGCGCCGCCGCCTCCTCCCCCGCGGCGCTCCCCGCGCTCCCGGCAGCCGCGGCGCGCGGCGCCGCCGAGACACAGACCGGTTTGTTCAAAATCACGCGCCCAGCGCCATGCCACGCCGCACCATAATACGCCGGCCCGCCCCGCCCCGAGCGCGCGCGCCGGCCCGCCCCGCCGCACTCTTCTTTTTTTTTTTTTTTAATTAAATAAAAAGGAAGAAAGAAAAAAAAAGTAAAATGTATTGATGCATCCAGTGTTACTTATAAAAAAGGACGTAAAAATTTTTAAAAAATGTAAAAAATAAAAAAATTAAAATGATAAACACAAAATCTTTAAAAATAAAAAACAAAATGTACTGATGCAGTTATGGAAACATTCACGAAAAACGATCACTTTCCAAAATTTGGAAAATAGAGTCCTAAAGCTAAAATTCTTGGCCAAATGTTTTTAGCCACTGTTTAAAAAGCAAATCTAAAAGCAGCACCCCCATCGCTCCTTTCATGCCCAGGTATCTACCCATCCCCTGCCGTTTCCATGACCAGCATCTATGCAAAACAGAGATTCCGATTTGTTTACCAGTCTCCCCCCTCCCAGCTGCTTTGGAATGCAAACTGCAGGAGGATAGGAACCTGGTGTGCCTCACCCCACCACTCTACCCCTCCCCAGCCCACAGAACCCAGAGCTGAACAACGAATGAATAAGTTATCACGGAGAAAGGGAACCTTCTAAACACTTCTAGAATTATTTACGTTGGGCACTGAAAACAATTTAGTCTATTTGAGTAGGATCAGATATACATAACGCTCGGACTTTATAAACACTTAAATAAACCCCACATCACCATAAGGCACACTAACAACTGAGAAACTACCTGTTCTGAATAATGTTTTTAAATATTATTATTATTTTGAGACAGCGTCTCACTCTGTTGCGGGCTAGAGTGCCGTGGCGTCAGCCTCGCTCACGGCCACCTCTAACTCCTGGGTCAAGCGCCTCCTGCCTCAGCGTCCGAGTAGCTGGGACTACAGGGCATGCGCCACCATGCCCGCCTAATTTTTCTATATATATTAGTTGGCCAATTAATTTCTTTCCTATTTTGTAGTAGAGACATGGGGTCTGACCTCTATGCTCAGGCTGGTTTCCAACTCCTGACCTGAGTGATCCGCCTGCCTCTGGCTCCCAAGTGCTAGAATTACAGCCGTGAGCACCGCCCAGCCTCTAATAAGTTTTTCTAAATACTCAGATTAGCTTTTAACCAATATCCTATGCGATTACATTCTATCTTAAAAATCTGCAAGGTTCTTTAGTTTTTAATAGTCACAATTTAT